TGACAGAGTGAGACTCCAACTAAAAAAAAAAAAAATATATATATATATATGTAGAACCGGAAGATTTTAATGCTTCTACCTTAACAAAAAAAAAACTTAAGGTTATGTATTCATCTTTCTCAATGCCTCCTGTGCTTTATTTTGAAAAATTATTTTAAATTCTTGTCTAACATGGTGCTATTTCAGTACTATCCGTGTCGGTCACACCGGAATGCAGATCCAGCACATCGTGGAAAACATCATTGCTGTCACGAAAGAGCTCTCAGAAAAATTGCCGGAGGTACAGTACTGCAGGTGCATCAGCTGGTTGTTGATTTAAGAAGGCAAAGTCTGTGTAGATGCTAGTGCTCTGCTCTTTTTCAGAAGTGGAAGAGCGTGAAGCTCCTATTTGTGAAAACAGAGAGATCGGTTGCCCTTCCCATCTTTTCTTCATTTGTCACCAACTGGAATGAAGCCACCAGAAAAATTCTTCAGAAGAAAAACGTGAGTCGAATTTTAAATAGTTGATAGTGTTATGAATCAAGGGTAGCAACTCAGCCCCAGAAGGGAGAGCCAGATTGCCACTTCTGCTTAACTTTCAAGTATCTTTTATGGTTTTCTGGTGGTTGTGTTTTTGGTTCACTGTTCCCATTTGACATAGGAAGTGATTAATGTTGGTGTGAGTGATGTATATTAAGATAGACATGTCCTGAATTTGCTGATAAGTTAGGTATTTTAATTTTTAATCTGTTTTAAAGGGGCTAGCTTTGAAAGGGGCCTTTGCTGAGGCAAAGAGGAGCTAAAAAAAAAGAGGTTTATGTCGGGCATGGTGGCTCATGCCTGTAAACCCAGCACTTTGGGAGGTGGCGGCAAGAGGATTGCCTGAGCTCAGGAGTTCGAGACCAGCCTGAACAACAGCGAGTTGTCTCCACAATAAGTAAATTTTTAAAAAATGGCCAGGCGCAGTGTCTCAAGCCTGTAAACCCAGCACTTTGGGAGGCCAAGGTGAGAGGATTGCCTGAGCCTACGGGTTCGAGACCAGCCTGGGCAACATGGTAAGACCTCAGGTCTACAATAAATCAAAAAAAATTAGCTGGGCATGGTAGCACACACCTGTAGTTCCAGCTACTTGGAAAGCTGAGACGGAAGGATTGCCAGAGCGTAGCAGGTTGATGCTGGGGTGGTCGTGAGCATGCCATTGCACTCCAACCTGGGTGACAGAATGAGACTCCAACTCAAAAAAAAAAAATTAGCTGAGCATGGTAGCATTCACATGTAGTTTTAGCTATTTGGAAGGTTGAGACAGAAAAATTGCCTGAACCCAGCAGGTTGAGGCTGCAGTGGCCATGAGTGTACTACCGCACTCCAACCTGGGCAACAGAGTGAAACTTCGACTAAAAAAAAGGCTTGTTAAAATCAACTTTAGGCTGAGCTCGGTGGCTCAGCCTGTAATCCCAGCACTTTGGGAGGCCAAGGCGAGTGGATTGCCTGAACCCGCGAGTTCAAGACCAACCCAGGCAACTTGGTGAGACCTCGTCTCTACAATAAATCAAGAAATTAGCTAGACATGGTAGCGCATGCCTGTAGTTCTGGCTACTTGGAAGTCTGAGGCAGAAGGATTGCTAGAGCCCAGCAAGTCAATGCTGGGGTGGCCATGAGTGTACCACTGCACTCCAGCCTGGGCGACAAAGTGAGACGCCAATGAATAGAAAAGGGAGTAGGACTTCATTGACTGGGCACAGTGGCTCATGCCTGTAATCCCAACACTTTGAGAGGCAGAGGCTAGAGGATTGCCTAAGACCACAGGTTCAAGACCAGCCTAGGCAACATGGTGAGACCTTGTCTCTACAATAAATCAAAAAATTATCTGGGCATGGTGGCACATGCCTGTAGTTCCATTTACTTGGAAAACTGAAGCAGAAGGAACACCTGAGCCCAGTAGGTCAAGGCTGTAGTGGCTGTGAGCGTGCTATTGCACTCCAGCCTGGGTGGTAGAGTGAGACTCCAGCTAAAAAAAAAAAATTAATTTTATTAGCAACAGTAAGTCCTCATTTAACGCCCTCGGTAGGTTCTTGGAAACTACTACTTTACATGAAACCAATTTTGTAGGCTCGTTGATATAAACAAGAGTTAAAGTTTCTCGAGCATATTTCTAGTCACAAATACAATGTCAAATTTTTTTTTCTTCCCAAGCCGGAGTCTCACTCTGTCGCCCATACTGGAGTGAAGTGGCACGCTCACGGCCACCACAGCCTCAACCTGCTGGACTCAGGTGATCCTTTCACCTCAGCCTTCCAAGTAGCTGGAACTGCAGGCATGTGCCAACATGCCCGGCTAATTATTTTTAATTTATCGTAGAGACGAGGTTGCTCAGGCTGATCTTGAAGTTGAGCTCAGGCAATCCTCTCGCCTCTACTTCCCAAAGTGCTGGGTTTACAGGCGTGAGCCACCACATCCAGCCAACACCAGACTTCTAAATACAGACTATTAACTATTGAAATGGGAACTGTACATACATTTAAGAAAGTGAGCAAAACAGAGATGATAATCATTTACCTAGTTATATCCAGTTCAGAGTCACAGGTTGCTGGAGTGTACCCTGGCAGTTTAGGGCTTAGGTACCAGGAAGGAGCTAACTCAGGACAGGGCACCACCCTTTCACAAGGCACGCTTACTCACTGGCACGATTTAGACACAGCAGCTCATCTAACATGTACATCTCTGGGATAGGGGTGGAAACTAGAGCACCTGTAGAAAACCCACACAGACATGAGGAGAATGTAGAAACCACACATGGGGGCCCCAGCTAGGAATTGAAGTTATAATGGAATGAGGGAGGCAGCATTATTCGAGGACCTGCTGTACTTTGTCATGGGTGGGCAAGGTTTAAGGTTACATTAGGTTAACAGAAAACCCCTGGGGTTAGGTTTGTAGGTTTTCAGGGCTACTTTAGCAAAGAAGCTTTCAGAAGGAAGGAACATTCGGGTTTTTGCTATTTGTTAGACTGATCTCCTGGCGCGTTCTCTCTTAAGCCATGTTCATCATGTCCAGTAAGTTTTATTAATTTTGGCTTTTATTAACTTCTAGAAGTTACATACCTTGTTCTTTTTCATATTGGCTTTGTCCCTTTGTTGGTTTCCTGTTACTTATAAACTAGTAGTTCGTCTTAAATCTGCAAACAGTTTAGAGATGCCTCAAAATTGCAGTTGGAGAAGTCTTGTTGCAGCAGTTACCTCTACTTGCTGGTTCCTTATTGCATTTGAAAATGGAATTTCTAGAACTGGGAGCTCCAGTGGCGTGATCAGTTAGTATATGGCACTTGTAGGAACAGTGTAAAGACTAGGATGGAGGTGCCTTCGGAAAAGAACTTTGGGTTTGCTTCTATTGTGTACCTTGGGTCTCCTTTAGCTGGGACCCCCAGGAGGCACATTCCAGGCTGGAAGTTCCCTAGTGACTCAGACCAAGTCGGGGCTGCGCGTCTGCATGCTCTGCTTCCTGCTCATCTTGATTCTGAGGACTCAGCTCGAGAGGAGGAGGGTTGCCTCTTAGAACCCCTCCATAGTTCATCCCTCCATTCCCACTTGGCTGGTAAGAAAAAGGATCAGCAAATCCTTTGAGTGTTCACCTACTCCTTTGGGTCCTCATTTTGAATGGCTTAGAGTGCGACCAACTCATCTGTGCTTTTATGGGAGAAAAAAATTTACTTTAAATATTTTACCCTGCCCTTTTTTTTTTAGCTTGTTTTCACTGGGAAGGTGATCCAGAATAGTGTAGGCAGCTATCACTGAAAGCAACAAGTGTGAATTTTTTTGTCATTTGTCAGCAGATTCAGTTGAGGTCATTGTGAAGATGTTGGGATTATTGGTTAGAAGGGAATTTAGACACTTAGAGATTTCATTCAACAGTACTCTGTGATAAGGAAAGTGGACCTCTAGCTATGTACGTTTTTACTGGTTTAACTTTTAACCACTATCTGAGGTAGGAAACATGCAATTCACAAGCCAGGTGCAGTAGTTCACATCTGTAATCTCAGCACTTTGAGAGGCTGAGGTGGGAGGATCACTTAAGGTTGGGAGTTCGAGAATAGCCTGGGCAACATAACAAGACCCATCTCTTTAAAAAAAGCAAGGTGAAGTACAGTTCACAAACCATATTGTACAAGTCAGGGTTATTCTTTACTCCCCTCTAAACATTACTGGCTCTCACAAAACTGTTAACTTACATACTGCAGATAACCAGATTCTGAAACACCAATGGACAGTTTGCTGCATAAAGTGCATATTTGGCTCTGAGTCAAAAACAAAGTATGGTTGAGGTTCCAGTACTGGTAAGGGCATTTGTTTTCTGTGTGCAGGTCAAGGGCCTCTAAGGAGCTTCTGAGTACTCAGCTGAAAGTGCTAAATCTATGCTATTTGTTTATCAACAGAACATTTTCTGCTAAAATTAAATGTGGGTTTTTTTTGGTAGATGGAAAAGAAAAATCGGACAGAAAAAAGACGTGAAAAACAGAGGCTGAAGAACAGAAACAAAAGGTTGAGGAGAAAGGCTAAAAAGGCTGCGTCCGTCGCTGAAGGTAAAATGGCATCCGAAATTGGTGGTGCTCCAATGAAGAAAACTCCATCCCAGAAGACCCCAGAGTGTGGGAAGAAAAAACATGGCAACGGGAAAGCCCAGCTTACAGTAACAAAGGAATCCAAAGATGAAATTCCACAACTGGTACCAATAGGAACAACTCCAGCTAAAGAAAATGGGGAGGTACTTTTGCTACTAATATTTACATTGGACTGGTTCAGTGGCCACTGTATGTCAGGCAGGCACTGTGCTGAGTGTTGTTGAGAAATAATGAGGCACAGTGGCTCACATTGTAATCCCAACACTTTGGAAGGCTGAGACAGAAGGATTGCTTGAGGCCAGGAGTTTGAGAATGGCCTGGGCCTTGTCTCTCTTTTTTTTCAGTTGGAATCTCACTCTGTCGCCCAGACTGGAGGGCCGTGGCCACTCCCGGCCACCGCAACCTCGACCTGCTGGGCTCCGACGATCCTTCCACCTCAGCCTTCCAAGTAGCCGGAATTACAGGCATGTGCTACCACGCCCGGCTGATTTTTTGATTTATTGTAGAGATGAGGTCTCGCTGCCCAGGCGGGTCTCGAACCTGTGGGCTCAGGCAATCCACTCACCTCAGCCTCCCAAAGGCGTGGGATTACAGGCTGAGCCACCGAGCCCGGCTGGGCCTTGTCTTTACAAATAATTTTTTAAAAATTTGCTAGGTGTGGTGGCACACACCTGCAGTCCTAGTTACTTGGGAGACTGAGGCGAGAGGATCAAATGCTAGAGTAGACCCCAAGAACAATAAAAATGGTTATCATGATTTACTTTACTTTTTTTTTAGATGGGGGTCTCTCTGTGTTGCCCAGGCTGGTCTCGAATTTCTGGGCTCGCGTGAACATTCTGCCTCAGCCTCCCAAGTTGCTAGGATGACAGGCATGAGCCACTGGGTGCAGTGGCTCACATCTGTAATCCCAGCTCTTTGGGAGTCTGAGATGGGAGGATTTCTTGAGCCCAGGAATTTGAGAATAGCCTGGGCAACATAGCTAGACCTCATCTCTACAAAAAATTAGCCAGTTGTGGTGCATGCCTGTAGTCCTAACTACTGGCTGATACAAGAGGATCACATGATCCCAGGAGTCACAGACTGTAATGAGCTATAGTTGTACCACTGTCCACCAGCCTGGGTGACAAAGTGAGACCCTGTCTCTAAAAAAACAAAGGAATTTTGGAGTGATGTATAGTAAACACAACCTTTTGTGTAGTTTGGAGTTAAAGGGGATTTGATCATATTTTTAATTCAAAGAAATACTACCTGTGGATTTAAAAAGCAGACCAGAGTGGAAATTTGGGCATATTATTTTAATTCTGACGCTGAGTCCTGGAGTGGCAAATGGTTAATCTTGGTAAATTTAGCGTGGCCAACTTGGGTTCTGGTTCCTGCCTCTAAAACCCTCCAGAGCAATGCCTCCAAAGATTCTTAGCAGAAATCTGACTTCATGGGTTTCAGAGAAGGTATTTAAAGGAATTGCGCTTATTCTTCCCTCTTTAAAAAGACTTGTACATGGTCGGGCACAGTGACTCAAGCCTGTAATCCCAGCGCTTGGGACCGAGGTGAGAAGATTGCCTGAGCCCAGGGGTTCAAGACAAGCCTGGGCAACTTGGTGAGGCCTCATCTCTACAATATATATATATTTTTAAATTAGCTGGGCAGGGTAGTGTGCACTGGTAGTTTTGGCTACTTGGAAGGCTGAGGTGGAAGGATCACCTGAGCCCAGGGGTCGATGCTGGGGTGGCCATGAGTGTGCCACTCTACTCCAGCCTGGGCAATAGAGTAAGACTCTGACTTAAAAAAAAAAAAATGCTTGTACTCATAGTATCTATCTGATTATCAGGGGGGTGATATCTCAGAATAAGGGAGGGTGATAGGTCCCTATGAATGAAAGGGCTGTATTTCCCCTGTATCCAGAGAAGACTCACACAGGCCTCTATAGGCAAGAGTCCTAGTCCCAGGGCTATCACCACACTTGACCTATTTTGTACTTCAGATTAATTGGAATCTTTAAGATTTTTATCTAAGGTGCTACTGAGTTTTTAAATATACTTTAAATCAACATCAGCTGTATAATAGGTTTTAGAATCATCTGTTTATAAGTTTGTAGGATAGCAGAATTGAAGAAAGGGCATGATACTCAACTTTTAATACATACTCATGGGGAAAGGCAGGGAATAAGAGGGATGGTGAAAGGCAGGTGACTACAGAGTTTACAAAACTTTTTTTTTTCTTGAATTGGAGTCTCAGGCTGGATTGCAGTGACACGCTTGCGGCCACTGCAGCCTTTACCTGCTGGGCTCCGGTGATCCTTCCGCCTCAGCCTTCCAAGTAGCCAGAACTACAGTCGCGCGCTACCACACCCGGCTAATTTTTTGATTTATTGTAGAGATGAGGTCTCACCATGTTGCCCAGGCTGGTCTCAAACCCGGAGACGCAGGCAGTCCTCTAGCCTCAGCCACCACACCCAGCCTGCAAAACATCTTTGGTGGTTAAGTTTTCCACAGTAGTAAGCCCATAGTTTTGTTGTTTGTTTTTGTCTTTAAATCCACTTGTATATTGAACAGAGTATGTTGATAGAATGCTGTCGTTGAAGCATCAGTAGCAGCCACCTGGGTTGCTCGGAAACCCCAGGATTCCTGCATGGGAAGCACTCCTTTCATAAAACTTCTGGCTTAACTTTGAGAAATGACTTTTTCTTTTTTTTTCTTTTGAGTTGGAGTCTCTGTCACCCAGGCTGGACTACGGTGGCACGTTCACGGCCACCACAGCCTTGACCTGCTGGGCTCAGGCAATCCTTCTGCCTCAACCTTCCAAGTAGCTGGAACTACAGACATGTACCACTACGCCTGGCTAATTATTTGATTTATTGTAGAGACGAAGTCTCCCCATGTTGCTCAGGATAGTCTTGAACTTGTGAGCTCAGGCAGTCCTCTCACCTCGGCCTCCCAAAGTGCTGGGCTTATAGGCGTGAGCCACCGTGCCTGGTCTGAGAAATGACTTTTTCTAACAGGCACCTCGGTTAGTTTTTACACACGATTTTGGGAATCCCACCCTAAGCCATGTGCAAGGGGTTTGCAACTGCAAGTGAAGAAGAGTCAGGACTTGGTTATTGGTATTCCAGTGATGCTCCTAGTGGTATGCCAGGAGTCCCTACCCTCAACCAGAAGGAAGGATGGTTTCTGTCATCTTTAATAGTGGAATACAGCTTTCAGAACTTCTGTGAGGCAAAACATGAAACTGTTTCTTATTTTTTCATCATGTTGAGGCATACCTTTAGGAATTTAACTAATAAAAGTAGTAACTCAGGCCAGGTGCAGTGGCTCACACCTATAATCCCAGCACTTTGGGAGGCTGAGGTGAGAAGATTGCCTGAACTCAGGGGAAGGACTGCCTGAGCCCAGCAGGTTGAGGCTGTGGTGGCCGTGAGTATGCCACTGCCCTCCAGCCTGGGTGACAGAATGAGACTCCGACTTGAATGAAGGAATGAATAAATAAATAAATAAAATTAAAAAGGCAGTAACAGAGTGTCAGGCTTTGTGGTTTTTTTTCACGCTTCTTTTTTCTAGGTCAAAAAACCTTCCATGGGAAAAAAGCCTCCAAAAAAGAGTCCTGACCTGAGCACACCTCGTGGAAAGAAGAGAAAGACTCTGCCAGTTTCAGAGACCCTAGAAGCTGCAGCACCTGAGACACCAGGGAAAAGCCCAGGGAAGAAGCCAAAAGTCAGAGAAGAGATGGAGAAAGAAAGAAAGCCTTCACTGGGGAAAAAAGACCTGAAACAGACTCCAAAGAAACCAGGGACCAAGTTTTTTGCCACTCTTAGTAAATCTACGAGTAAAGCTCTCCACACCCCTAAACAGCGGCCCAAAAAAACTGCTGTGCCCCCGTCAACCTAGAGTCAGCAATTCAGCCAGAACAGCAGAACTACCTGAGGAGCGTTTCAGAAATACTCGGGTGCTGCCCCCATTGCAGGCTTCTCCAAGTATAGGCCTGGACTGCAATGTTTTTTAAAGCTTCCATGGGTGATTCTGATGCATGTGCCTGGTGTAAGAGCCAGTGGTTTGCAGAAAGACTATTTTTTAATTGTTCTTATGTGTTTTTGCTAATATAAAAAGGAAAAACAGAGTACTTCTCTATAGTTGTGTTGTCTGTTATTAAAGTTAACATTTGCTTCGAGTGTATGTGCTGTTGGCATTCCAGATCATGCCAGTGTGATTTGAAGGCCTGTGATGTGACCCTTTTCCTCATCTGCTCTAAACCATCATTCTCATATTAGCACTTTTGTGTCTGTCATTAAAGTAGAAGAGCAGGGCCTCGTCACCTGAGAATCAACCAGGGAACTTAGGAATCAACCAGGGAACTTAGGAAACACATGACTGTCTTGGTCCTCATGCTGAGATTGTTTATTTTGTGAGGGTCTTGGCGGTCACCCAGGCTCATGAGTCACTGGATTAGCATACATGTGGTGAGGGCAATTGACGTCAAATCATTTCTAGAGACATTCTGTTGGATCCTGCCTGCTGAGGACAGGAACATAACTTTTGTCTTTCATCAGCCTTTTCACCTTCCTCCACATTTCTCCTCACCCTCTATAGATTTACTTCTCTATGGTGACTAAGACCAGAAACTTGGGAAAGTAGACTGTTAGAGTTTGCACAATGGTCAACTATATTCTGAGGCAGTAAATGACTTTTTTTTTTTAAATTTTGAGTCAGAGTCTCACTATGTTGCCCATGCTGGAGTGCAGTGGCTCACTCAGCCACCCCAACAGCAACCTGCTGGGTTCAGGCAATTCTGCTTCAGCCTTCCAAGTAGTCGAAACTACAGGCACATGCTACCATGCCCAGCTAATTTTTTGATATAGAGACGAGGTCTCACCAAGTTGCCCAGGCTGGTCTCAAACCCCTGGGCTCAGGCAATCCTCTTGCCTTGGCCTCCCAAAGTGCTGGGATTACAGGCTTGAGCCATCGTGCCTGCCTAGTAAATGATTTGTTACGAACTCTTGACTGAATTTGAATTGGTTCGTATCCCTAGTAGTAGGTATGCATTCACTGTGGTGGAAGAGTGTGCTGAAGGCTGAAGTGAGGCTGTCTTTCAAAGATCATTTGGTTCTGGCCATGTGTGGTGGTTCATGCCTATAAACCCAGCACTTTGGGAGGCCAAGATGGGAGGATTGCTTGAAACCAGCAGCTTGAGACCAGCCTGGGCAACATAGTGAGACCTCATCTCTACAAAAGTTAAAAAATTAGCTGGTTGCAGTGGCATGCTGTTGTAGTCCCAGCTCCTCAAGAGGCTGGAGCAAGAGGATATCTTGAGCCCAGGAGTTTAAAGATGCAGTGAGCCATTATCATGTCACTGCACTCCAGCCTAGGCAAGACTGAGACCATGACTCAAGCAAAAAAAGGCTGGGCTTGGTGTCTCAGCCTGTAATCCCAGCACTTTGGGAGGCTGAGGCAAGAGGATTGCCTGAGCCTGCAGATTCAAGGCCAGCCCGGGCAACTTGGCAAGACCTTGTCTCTACAATAAGTAAAAAAATTATCCAGACATGGTAGTGTGCGCCTGTAGTTCTGGCTACTTGGAAGGCTGAGGTGGAAGGATTGCTGGAGCCCAACAGGTCAATGCTGAGTTGGCTGTGAGCGTACCACTGCACTCCAGCCTGGGTGATGGAGTGAGACTCTGACTCAAAAAAAAAAAAGGCAAAAAACCCCAGAAAAGACCATGTGCTTCAAAAAACATAATGGAAGCAAGAATAAAAGTTGCATAGGCTCCTTTCGACCTGGAGGAGTCCAGATTGCTTTTGCTTTTTAGTAGCACAAATTAAATTGTGTTAATTTTTTAAATTACAAAACTTTAGAAAACCTCTAAAATACAAAATTATTTGCAATCTCACTTCTAAAGATGAATATACACTTAATGTGTTGTAAGGGTTAGGGTCTGTTTTCCGTATAAACTAGGTTCTTTGGGAAGATGGACAAGTAGAGGTGTGTGATTTGTTTATAGATCTACTGCTTTGCATAGGACACACCTCATCCACAATTATGTTAATCTGTTCTTTGCATGACATAATTTTCCAGCGATAACCATATGGTTTTTTCAAATCCTATTCTCTAGCCAGTTAAAGATTTTGCAACACCAAGTGATTCTTTGCCCTGTATTTTAGTCTTGTTGAATGTGACACAGGTGTCAACCTTTCCATGCATCTAATTTCATTCCAAAAATGTTCTTGGTGTTCACTATGTTGAAAACAGCAGAATTCCATTTCTTGAACAAGATGCCAGTATTCTAGTCTAACAAAGTCTATTTTATGATAAAGTGTTGATAATACAATGTGCTGACTACTATACTAGTTGTGAAAAACAGTGGCTTTCTGCTTGTGGTTTCCACTGAATGTATACTGCCTTTGCACCATCATGAAGTCAAGGAATCCTAAAGTGAATCATCATTAAGATGGGACCATCTCTGCTAGATTTCCCAGGCTTAGGAAGATAAGGAACACACTCCTGGGTGACTGATGGGGTTATGAGCTGATACTGGGCTACCCAGTAGCCAAGGGGAGGATGAAATCTGTACCACGGGAAATCACCATCTTGTGGGCTGATTATAAGGCATGTTTCTTTGTTAGTGCTAGATTTCTGGAATCTGCCTAAATGTAATGCAGTAACTGTGTTAAATCTTACCACGGAGGTTTAGAAATCAAATCTGGTGGGAGAAACGTGAGTGCACCATTTTTGTTTTAAGAAAGTATTTATGCCGGGTGTGGTGGCTCACACCTGTAATCCCAACACTTTGTGGGGTTCAAGACCAGCCTGGGCAACTTGATAAGACTTGATCTCTACAATAAATCAAAAAATTAGCCAGGCATGGTGGCATACACCTGTAGTTCCAAGCCCTTTGGAAGGCTGAGGTGGAGGGATCACTGAGACCAGCAGCTTAAGGCTAAGCTCAGCCTGAGTGACAGAGTGAGACTCCTATTCAAAAAAGAAAAAAAGTACTTGATTTCTAGCTATTTTGTTTTTTAGGAACTATAATAAGCATCATCAAATTCAATATTACTTTAAATGCCAACCCAGGTGTTTAAAGATAACTTTGTATTTTGGTCTCCTTGAGAAATACTAAAATGAGGCTACAAAGAAGTTGCTAAGTGTCATAGTATCTGACCAGTGGGCCAAAAACCATTTCTCTGCTTTCAATATGCAGGTGTTTAAGGGCAAAGTCTTGCCGTTTAATTTAATATGTGAAAGTCCTGCTCTCTCACCATTTTCTCAAATTGCTACTGTTTCCCTTGCCTACAGTTAGTGTTAATACTCAAATACCAACATTCCCAATTAAGACTTCATGAACCACAGAAGCCCTTTATCATTCCTTGGATCCTAAAGGAGTTTGTGCTTGTGATAAAAGACCATAAGTAAATTTTGTTTATGGAGGTCAGTTCAGTATTATGTTCCTGGGGAGAGAAAATGGCACTCTATTTGGGTGATTCTATCTAACTCCAGATTATAACATTTTACTGTAACAGTTTTTTGTTTTTGTTTTTTTTTGAGTTGGAGTCTCACTCTGTTGCCCAGACTGGAATGCAGTGGCCACTCCCGGCCACCGCAGCCTCAACCTGCTGGGCTCTGGCGATCCTTCCGCCTCAGCCTTCCGAGTAGCTGGAACTACAGGCGCACGCTACCACGCCCGGCTAATTAACAGTTTTTTTAGATTTGAAATATGCTTACCCATCAGTTTACCATTTTAAATCATTAATATCTCCTGTTTATACAACTCAGTTGGATCATTTTCTATTCTTGAAGTTACAAGAAATGTCAGGACCCAAATCCAAATCACTAAAAAAGATGTCTGCTAGCTTCCCAAAAGACATTAGTTGATAATGTGAATGAGACACTCAGTTTTCATTATAGGCTTCCCTCAATCTATTTCTCCAGTGTACTCTACCTAACAATGACACAGTCTCAAAAACTTCACTGATCTCAGCTATTCAGCCACCAAGCTACATCAGTTTATCTTTCATTCACTCAGCCATGCACATATGTGTACATTTTTTAGCCATTAAGTTCCTATAAACTACCAAGTACAGTACTAGATTCCAGAAACTGGTGCATAAAACAGAGCTGTGAAGTTCAGGAGTGCTATAGTCTGGTTAGTGGCAGTCTCAGAATTTATATGAGGCAGCAGAAGTAGGCTGCAAAGTGGATCTGATGGCTAGGAAGCTTCTTTTGCTGTGAGTTCCTACACTTTAAGATTAGACCATACGTTTTGGGGGAGTGCTGAGGGAGATCACAGGAAGGATGCTAAAACGTGTCTAAGCCACCACTTGTCTCTTCTGACTGGAAAAAGAGACCCCAGAAACAAATGAAATAAAGCGTGACTAGCTGTACCCAGCAAAACATGGACCATTCAGTAGAACCTAAGAGTTAGTAGAAACAACAAAACCAACATACATCTTAAACCATTCAGTTTCCCAAGACCAAGCCCAAATTTTCTTTACACTTTTCTAGAAAGAATCTATGCAAAAGTTCACTCAAAAGAAAAACTGACCAGGTACAGTGGCTCATGCCTGTAATTCCAGCATTTTGGGAGGCCAAGGCGGGGATCACTTGAGGCCAGGAGTTTGAGACCAGCCTGGGCAATATAGTGTGACTTTGTCTCTACAAAAATTAAAAAGTCCAGGTGTGGTGACACACACCTATAATCCAAGCTACTCAGGAGGCTGAAGTGGGAGGATACCTTGAGCCCAGGAGTGATCTGTGCTCATGCCACTGCACTCCAGTCTGGGTGACAGAGTTTGAGATCCCAACTCTCACACACACACACACACACACACACACACACACACACAGCCTTATATTATGCATGTTGTATTGGCTCTTGCTTCTTTTCACTTAACAGTTACGTTAAACATCCTTTCACTATCAACTCTTACAGACATAACCAGCTTTGTAGTCTGTTATCTGAAATATTGAAGTATCAGAACCTGCTTAACTGCTTCCCTATTGGCAAATATTCCACCTCTTTTTTTTTTTTTTTTGAGTTGGAGTCTCACTCTGTTGACCAGACTAGAGTGCAGTGGCTGCTCCCGGCCACCGCAGCCTCGACTGCTGGGCTCCGGCGATCCTTCCACCTCAGCC